TGTCAAAGCAAAGCAGAGGTCAAAGGTCTTTTCACTGCAAAGCTCAGCCAGGCACAAAGATGCATCTCGCTGATAAACACCGGGCATTGGTGAAATTGTAACACGGTAGAATGGTCTCAATTTCAGTTTCTTTCTCTGTCTCATTATGCAAACTAATGGATGGAGCTTGAATTTGTCTGAGTGAAATGAAGGCACTGAAAGCACTTATCCCTACAGAATGCATACAAGTGGAAAAAAATGTATGCGTGAAAATGTGAGACACGAGCGTCCTCGAGCACTCTGTCGTTGTTTAATATCGGTCATCTGCTCGAGGACTTATTATAATTCGGCTCCGACCGGAACAACACCTGGCCTATTTATTTGACCGATGATCTCTCAACTGCCCAAACATGGAAGAGACAGGAGGAACACGAGGCTGCCCTAGAATTGTGCCTCTGCTTTACCTGCATGTTGGCCTGATAGTGGACGAGCGGCAGAGGAGGGAGACAATGGGCTCGTGACGGAGCAGTACTCACGGGGCTTTTTGGTGGGAGGAGGGAGCGTCAGGCCAAGGTACGGGTTGTTATCGTTGTCCAACCTCCGCTTGTATTTCTGTCTGCCACCTCGCACGCGGTCCAGACGCACCCCTGGGTTAGAAACGACAGGGACATGAGATTAAGAGAGTGCATTTTTTTTCCTACAGTAGATTGTAAGGGAAATCAAATACATGAAAATTGGATGGTTAAAAAAAAAAGCGAATTAATATTTGAGATAAAGGGCGATACATTAGAAAACATGCAAAATAAATCCTCCATGTATTACACTAGAACAAATATGTAGCATGATGATCAGAGATGACACCCAAACATATTCTGTATTAGATCATGTGTAAAAGGTGTATTGTAAAAGTACTGCATAGTGACATAAGTGTGTGTGGCGTCTGTGTGTGTGTGTGTGTGTGTTTGAGAATGTGTCAGAGGCACGGCTGCCTTCCCATATGTGGTCCATGCCTGGCTGGTCTACTGTGACACAGCTGAGCCCAGAGCAGGTCTAAACATATGAATATTTAACGCAGGGTCAATGATCTCACAGACTGGCCCTCTAATTATTTAGCTTTTGGGGTGAGGCAGATTGCATACTAATTAGCTGCCAGCGACATGCCTCTTTGCGTGTGTGGGTGTGTGAGCTCAGGTGAGCGCTCTTCGGGTATCGCCAAAAAGAAACTTGACCAGCCCACAAGTAAAGACACACAAGTCCCACACACACTGTACAAAACATCCGCTGTCATACTGCAGATAGATAACTAGGTATTGCTTTCACATAAAGACCCTTATTTCACCCCTCTTTCACTGGAGTAGCACTGAGGCCTTATCACCCCCAGCCACACCTAGGGGCCAGGTTCCACACTGATACTGTAAATGTCAAGCCAGCCTCATCATAACATAAGTTATTTATTATCTCATTATTTGATAAGAATGTTTCCATTTGGATGTCTTTTCTATTCTATTCGTTTTCAACATAGTTAAAATATTTAATCTACACTGTTTTATTTATTTGATACCACCGGTCACATATTTGGTTATTTAATGTAAGTGTATGCAAATTTGTATGTATAATATAATATAATATAATCTGCTTCCCCATACATAGACCAGCGTGTCACTGCTCCCTACAGCCTAAATATCCTTGATATCTTAATCCTGTCAAGAGGGAGAATCCCTTCAATTTACATTGTATGCATAATGTAACCCCCCCCCCAAACAAATTTAATATTAAAGGGTGGATGAGAAAAGGCTCAATGAAATGCTTGCGGTGGAGGAGGAGTTAATTTGTCAGTCGCCCGCGTCCTCTAAGCGGACAACACCCGCAGCCAGAGCACTTCCTTGATGATTTCATCACTTTATAACAGGGAGGACGGTGTCAAACCTGGGCATTGTGTGGCCACTGCAAATGAGCCTAATACAATTTGTCCATCAGCAAGTGCTCTTGGAGGGGATGAGTTTGGATGTGTCCCATGCACGGTGATTGGAGGTCGGTCAGTGAATGGGGGGGAGGGAAATCAGATGATATTAGATAGAAGGTGGCCTTCATTTAACAAAGAGGAATTCATCGGTGGAGTTATGCTAAATAGCTTCTTGATTTTCACCACTTATCCTACGTGGCCATAGCCCCCTGTCCCTCACTCTCAACGCATGTGGGGGGGGGGGTTCCAGTAAACTGTATTTTCATGGAACTGAAGAATAGAGATTTCTTCTACTTTCATAAATTATTTGATTCCCTGGAAACACAAATCTGATTAGGATTGTCTTTCAATTTCCTGACACCGACAACCCACTAACCTAATTACCCCCAATTCCCAATAGAGCATCATCCTTCTCAGCAAGCACCAGGGAATCATCTGATGGCAACTACCTGTGCTTTACACACACACACACACACACACACACACACACACACACACACACACAAAATGACAATTTAATTTTTATGTGTAACTTATCAAGAACAACTCTTTTTTTTCTGCGAAGGCATCTTGGCAACAGTCTTCAAACACCCTTTACCTGCCTACTCGAGTATATGTGCTTAAAAAAGTTTCAGATTCAGCTGAGATGATCCCGTTACTACTGTATGGTTGGAGAATTCCTCCCATTGTCAAACGCGATGTCACCACTCTAGACGGTTTCTTCCGGCTCCCCCGCTGAGCTCGGCGTCTGCCAGTTGGCTTTGCTTCTGCTCTCCATGATTCTCTGTGCCGGTTGAGTCATGTGGCGGTATCAGCCAGTATAAAGCCGGAGATGAAGGTAGATGGGTGCCTCTTTTAATTAGAACAGTCCTGGCCATAATTAACAGATGCTGACAGGAATTAAAGCTTGGCACTAACCTGTCTCATTTTACTGTCCAACAGGGCCAGATACAGGCAGAGGGGATGAGAGAGTGATTAAGAGCAGCTAGACGGATTCATTCACTCTTGCTGTCAGGGCACTATGGTCGGGACTTTATCGGGGCCTTTCTGGGGTTCATATGTCCCTTTGGCGACACCCGAAGCCTCTGACTCTAACCGGTCTGTTGTGCTCCCTCCAAAGTAAACAGAAGGAGCGTTATAAATGTGTGAAGAGAGTTGAGTACTACCTCATCCGAAGTCATCTCACTGTTTTATGGCCCACTACATAGAGCAGTGCGGGCAGCAGCGGGCGAGCTCGGGTATCATCTCTTCAAAGCAGGGTGCAGAGGGAGAGGGCTTTCGGCCAAGGCGGCTGGCATTTGTGCACGGATTAGCGCAGGCCTTTGGGGTGGGGGCTGGGGCCAGCTGACCTAGGGCTCTTCTTTCTCTCCAAAAACAATAATAATCCCCTTCCTAGTACACTCCTACAAAAGGGCCTGTCTTCACTCACTTTGTATGGCCGGCAGTGGTCGGGGCCCTTATTTTGAGTCTCTCACCTGTTCTGGGTGTCTCTCCGTGGGGAAAGTGTCAGGATGTCTGGGATGGTTGGCAATGCCAAGGGGGGCTTATGCGCACCCTATTTTAGCTGGGAAAATCAGAAGGCCACATGGCAAGGCATGGTGAACCTTGCCTTTCAAGGAAGCCGCCCGGCTAAACTGCCGTCAGCATTATTTCAAAGGGCGCCTGTTGCCAGCTTTGCATGCTTGTACGTGTGTTCCAGCATTTTTGCTCATCACGAGTGGTGATGAGCAAGGGTAGCAGAAAAATTGTCACGCATTGCCCTCCTCCCCTTCTGCTGAACCCCAGGGGCTGCCATACTGACACCCTCGTCACAAAGTCCATTTACAGGTTAGCTACAATTTCCCTAGTGAGCTGACTTCCCTGCTCACACTGCTAATTGAAAAGACTTAAACTAAACTTTAGATTGCTGTAAATTACAGTATTGTAAAAGAAAAAAAATAATAATTGTCAGTGTGCTTTGGCTCAGGCTTCTTTATTACCTACATGTCTAGTATTTCAGGCACTATACACGTGAGCGTAGTGTGGTTCACGTGTATGTTCTGTATGTTGCGTATGTGGCTGTGACGGGGCTATTGTGGGATGCGGTTGTCCTTTGCATGCCAGTCTGCGGAACAATGAGAGGTGTATTGTATATCACCGCAAGTGTTCATGGCTGCCACGCCGTCCTCTTACAATGAGACAGGATACTTTCTACCTTTACAGAAAGCACTTTCAACACAGTGAGGACAATGGAACAAAAAGCTATTGTTTTTGGTCAACACTACAGGTGTGTAGATACAAATATATATGTGACTATACAGACATAAAACATTCTTCTGCACCGGTGCGTGTGTGTGTGTGCGCACATGTGTGGAGGGATCTATGTGTTGGTGAGCGATGGAGAAAGGAAGTCAGTGCACAGAGCAACTGCCACTGAATGATGTCAATGTAATCTCTCAATAGTATCTTGTCTTCTCTCTTGCTCTAAGCTCTGATCCGTTTCCATTGATCAGAGGAAAAACCTGTTGCCCCTGACATTTGATTCTTCTATTGATCACTTCCTCCTTTATACAGTCAGGGGAAAGTACAGCGACTCAACACAGAGTTCAGGCTCTCCTATAATCGGACCGCTGATCTTCCAAACCATTTTCCTTCACCTCATACCAAACTTTGAGTTGATATGATTGCAGCTTATGTGCTTGCTCAGTAGAAACTGATATCGTATGAATTTTACTAGTGGGAGTGTAAACAGAAATATCTAACCGCAACTTCCTCAGAATACGTCTAATATCGCTCTTCTCTCAGAGACGGTGATGGATTTAAACTTCTGCTTCATCGGGGTTCAGCGCTGTACTTTGTTGGAGCTGTAAAGTTATAATTAGGTGATTTTCCATTGAGACACAATGTGACCTTTCTGCAGTAATGAAAGTAAGTGGCAACCTGAGTCACATGAGCGGTGGCCATCTCCACACTCTGGGCCCGAGCATGGCGTTGAGCCGGCGGCTTCATAGAGCTTACAGTGGACAGAGACCACGTGTCTCTCTTTCCATTTTGTCTTGGTGACACTTTAAAGGGCCGGACCTCAAGGCAGAGCTTACTCAAGTCCCTGTTAATCATGACAAACCTGCAATTTTAATAATATTTTGATTGTGACAGAAATCGGTTATTTCAGAGGGATCTATTGCAACTCCTGCGCAACACTTCAATCACGCTGTGATAATAGCTGCCATGAGGTGAGGACAGCCGCTTTGTAAAGTAGGGTCATTCTTATTCTGACAGTGTGCTGAATACACAGAAGTGTGCGGCATTAGAACCACGGGCTTAGCCAAAGTCTGCATATTTGAGTTTGACATTCGTTTTTACCCTGACCCGACACTGGTCATTCATTTATAGCCACGGCTACATATTTTTGTAGTCTCTTATTCTCCAAGATGATATATTGGCATAAATTTTTCATCAGATAGTAATGCGATTACTCTGTCTTTCTGGCACTGAGGCTTTATCTGGCTGCATGCAGTCCAGCGGATTCTGTTACTGTGTGGAGATCCATACGGGCTATGACTCTGGCTTCAGGTGGCAACCGGATATATTATGCATCCATAAATCCCGCTCGCCGATGAATAATGGGAGGAATAATGGTGGGATATATACTGCGCAGAGTTAGACAGAGAACTTAAAAGTGGAAGATTGTACGGAACTTCATTTATCAGAGCTTCTGTCTGGCAGTATTCATACCACTGTTTAAGCATGAGGGACAATCGTACTTGGCACAACACTCGAGGAAAACGCGTTTCCTTACACAGTTCCTGAGCTACTCCCAGAGGAGGCTTGAATAAATATAACACTGCCACTTCACCCCCAAGTCACATATCTTTCATTATTCATTTGTCTGGCCCTTTCGGAGCAACCAACAAGTGAGAAGGAGACGGAGGGAGAAAGAGAGAGAGGCAGGTGAGCAGGCATGTGCTCGTGCAATGTGGTAAGAGAGAGACCAGATACAGTAGGTGCTTCCCCCGAAAGAGCAGCCCTGCCTCGGGGTCTCAAGGGGTTCAGTCAGGGCGATTGGGGGGGGGGGGGGGGACCCAAGAAGACAAATCCATCGGAAGCATGTTTAATTGTCACTGAATTCCCTGCTGGCGTGACTTTAAAAAACCATCCACAGGAAGAGAGCTGAGATGTTCGGAAAACATTTAGTGGATCAATATGCGGGGGTGAGCTGAGACCATGCCCGGTGTGTGCTCAGGGACCCAGCCTGAGCCCTTCCAGGCGGAATACTGTTACATTTCTATTACTCAGACGGCAGGATCAACCTATTCAGCATATTTCTGTCCTCAGCTCAACTGCACATTATTTACTGCTCTGTAGGTAGGGGGAGGACAGGGGGGCTGGGAACTGTTGTCTGGGCCAGCCAGTTGTATGCATCTCTCACTTTGGGCTGCTAGATGAAAGATGCTGTGGGACTCATTGCTTAACGAAACAACTATCATGAGAACAAGTGTGGGATGCTCAGATGAATGGTGGCTTCTTTATTTGCAAGAATGTTGTGTGAAACAAAACACGTACAGTAAATGTATCTGTGTGTGTGTGTGTGTGTGTGTGTGTGTGTGTGTGTGTGTGTGTAAGAATAATAAAAATGCTCTTACTCTTCTTACCTTCTTTGAGCATCCCCACTTTGAGGCATTTCATGAAGCGACAAGCCTGACATGATTTGCGTCTCCGCTTTGTGATCTCACACTCATTTGTGGCAGGACAGCTGTATTCTATGTTACCTGAGGAGAAGAAGAAGAAGAACGCCAGGTTATCACAAGCAAAACCAGTTGTCTCAGTCCAATACATTCAAATCTAAAACAAAATGTTTGTGAAATATGAGGTGGAAGCATTTCACCAGGCACTAAAGAGAACCCCTCATTTTTAAATTGTGTGCTGCTACTGATGTGTATTCTCAGATAGTCTATAATAAATTACATTTTGCCAACCAGGCATGGGCACTTGTTAACCATATGGATTCCTATAGAATCCATTTCTGTAGTGTGCAGGTGGCTCAGGTCTCCAGCGAGTAGAGAACCTTTCAGCACTGAGGGCCTCGGCAGGAGGAGAAGCTGGGGTAAGAGGTAGAGGGTGGTGGTGGTGGGGGGGGGAAGTAAAGCTACAACAATCCTTCAGGACCCATCAGTAGACGCCACCCAGGTCCAACACTAAATTGGCCTCATTAATTCTGTGCGTGTCCCCTCCGGGCCCCGTGCCCCGGGCGCAGGCTGTGTCCCCCTGCGCTCAGAGGGGCCTGCCACTGCCTCAATAGCAGGCTGGAGAGCCAGACACGCTGCCCCTGACCACTTTACATAATTCTCCAGCAGACCCAAACCTGTTGTTACCACTGTTGCTATTGTTGACTATTTACATAGTGTACAGGCAAGAGGCCTGATGCATTATTCAACTGCAGCGTCTGATTCCAGGACGGAGCAATGAAAAAGAGTTTCAGTGCTACACAATAAAAGAGCCGGTTGCGCTCTACTCTAGCATTAGCAATAGAAAGGGCAGGATATGTGAGGCAATGCCTCCGCTTCTGTCTGATTCCCTACATTTTACTGTATTCAGGGGGTTTTCAATAAAGGGCTTCAATGTAATGTTTGCTCCAGCCTGGGAGTTTGAATTATCCTCATTTTGAACAGGCTTTCAGCTTTAAAGCTTTTGACATTGGGGTTTTCCCTAAACTTTTCTTTTAACCCAGGGTTTATGTCTTTGTCAGACAGTGAAATAAATTGTTGAGTGATGTAAAAATTATAATTTAATCATCATGAGTACCTCAATATTTTTCCCTCATCCATTAAAATACATGTAAGTAAACAATATGTCGGCAAATGTGCTTTTTGTTGAAACTGTTAAATACACAGATGCTGTACAGCAACCCCTGTAAGGCATTTTTATACTTTGCAGTGTTTTAACAGAAATCCACACGCAAGCACATCAGGACTGCGTCCCGACATCCTGCAGCTGCTCCACAGCTCTGACCCTTTACTCCATATTTTCTGTACAGAGAAACCGAAAGCTGTGTAATATTCCACGGGCGTTCCTCCACTAGCCCTCCAACATCCTTTGACAACTTATGCAATTATGTTAACATTATTGGGCAGATCAAGAGGAGGGTCCCAAGATGTTATAAATAATTAGAAATTCCTCCTTATATCTGGGTTAGAAATCAGTATGCTAATTCTCCTCATCTCTTTGGGATTGGGGTAAATAAAGGTGTGAGGGAAGGCGGCTGATGAGCTCTGATTGTCTTTCCTCTGTCTGTTTTCTCTGTTGTCATAGCAGAACCAGACCATAATAATCCTATCCATTTCCCATATCCTGGGAGGAGGCAATCAGTGCCACCCTGTGCTGGATTCAATCCTTGGAGGTCTTTTTGGTTTGCGTTCCCATTATACACTAACCAATCAGCAATTTGCTGGGATGTAAAATACTTAACACGTGAAAGAAACATGGATTATGCAGATCTGACAAGTCTTTACTTATCATTTTATTCACTTTGTTGAATGCACGCTATGTGGCAGGTCTGCTTGCACGGCCCAGCCCGGCACAGTTGACCGTGTGTCCCCTGAGGACTCTATGTTTACGGGGATATTTTGCTCTCCCTTCCCCGTCTCAGGGGTGATGGGGGCTCGTGCACATACCACACCTGGTGGCTGACTGACTCTCAGAGAGTTGGCCCTTGGATATCACATACTCCAGAAACAAAAACAAACACACGCTCACACACTGCTGTGCTACTGTGTCCACCTGTCCCGTCAAGTCCTCCGTGCGTGTGATGTTCTGTCGGAGGGGGCTTCTCATAGCTCAATGCAGATAGAGGGGGGGTGGATTAACTAATTTTTTTCATCGCTCCATTAGGTTTATATTTAGAAGAAGTTTCAGTATCGAACAGTAAGCCCCACTTCAAAACATGCCTGACATCGTTTAGCTGAGCTAAATGACAATAAGCCTTGACCTCTCTTGGCCTGTTGCTTTTATTTACATACATTCATATCGATAAAAGAAGAAAAATATCCAAGAAATGGTCATATTAAAGGCAGCTCCCATAGATTGGAACTTGCCACGACTATGACAAATGTAAGTAATTATAATATCTGATGCTGTTAAATGTTTGTAACCTTTCTAACCACTGTGGTGAAAATCACACTTAATTTACACTATAAGCAAAATATACCTGTAATTGATGTGGTTAATTAGGTTTGGACTTCAATGTAATTGTTAGATAAAAACACAATTATTGAGATTTACATTAATGCATTTAAATGTTTTACTTTCAACAGAATAGGCTTCATCACTGTAAGATGTATTATTTTATGCCGAGTGTGTCCTTCTTGTCTTTGTGTGAATGAATGATATTGTTTGTAGCAGTCTTTAGTTGTTTCTTGTCTCATTTACCAAAACTTCCACCCGAGGGGTGAATAAACCTTTTAGGAAAACAGACGAGTGGATTTAACTGACTTTTAACTCTAACATGGCTTTACAGTCTCCTGAACAGTTAAACAAAGTGTCACAACTAACTACTGATTTAATTGGGAATTTGTAGTTACATTAGATTAAAACATTGACTCAAAAGGGCGCACCTCTTAAATTATTTACAGTAACCTTGTCATTCAGAGATGTGAGTAATAGAAAGGCCGGTTTCACTTTCAGGAATGAAGCATACTGGCGGGAACCCCTTTAACCCGAGGGCCATGTCGGGGTTTATCCGTCTTTAGAGAGGTTATGGTATGGTTACCAATAACATTACCGAGTGAAGGGAGAAGAAAGAGATTTCCCTCCTTCTTCTCTTGATAAGTATCTGTCTCAATCTATTTTATGGCTTTTCAGGACCCATGCCAGGGCACAGAGGGGAAAGTCAGGTCTTGTAAGTAAATTACAGTAAAATGGCAGGTATTTCTCATCAAAATCTAAACTGACTTTTACAGGCTTACTGTCAAGGTCTATTACTTCATATAGAAGGGGGCCACTGAGTTCAGTTGGTTTTCAAGCAATTTTACACTTGGGTTCAAAATGGGAAGAAAACACAGTTCAATAAGAGATTTATGTTTTTGATTGGTGGGGGCACGTGAGGTGCAGGAATGGCGGGATGATTAGGGAGCAATGAGAACAGGGTTATTTCTGGGATGGATGGAGATCCAGGTTGACATTAACTTGGGGCCTGGCCTTGAGTAATGTAACTATCTCCACGTAAGAGTTCAAGGGGCTTTTCACTGGATGAATAGGTGACAGATGGATTTTCCATCATCTTTTGTTGAAAAGGTAAGACTATGAGGCTGGAGCGGGAAATACAACAAAGACAGTAAGTTACTCGGTGCCTAAACTATCATAAAAAGTTAAATTTAAATTGAAAGATAATATATATCTAAAAAAAGAAAAAAAACTCTCAAGAATTAGCTGCTGAATCACACGGAGTTACACAAGGTGAGCACAAGGTGATAAAGAAACTGTCATGTACAGGGTTAACATTAACTTAGCATGTTATTTGCCCTAAGTGCTACAGAACAATGTGATAAAGGACTGGAAAAGACAGCTCCTTTGTTTTCCTCTCATTAGAGAGGGCCGTCTCACACTCCACCCTTGACTGCCTCGTTATTCCTTTAATTAATCAGTTCTCATCAACGGCACCCTCTCATTCTTTCAAGGGCTCTACATCCCGCTATTTACCGCCTCCATTTTCCTCCAGCCATCCTGCATGCGTTTCTTTTATCATTTTGGAAGGTTTTCACCTCCCCCAAAAAGTCCCTGCGTCCTCCTGCTTTTTCTGCCTGGGACCCCTGTCTGATTATTATGCCATTAAGCCTCTCCTCCTCTCCTCTGAAAGAGCAGCAGGGTCCCTCTCCAATCTAAAGAAGTCCTGGGTTTTTTTCCCCTCCTTTCCCTGAAATTACCCGGCGACGCGTGCCTGAGTTTCTAATTGGCATGCCCGTCCCTGGAGACGGCCCCCTCCCTTCTTCCTAATGAAAAGCCTCGGCCTTAATTACACTTTCCAAACGCTGATTGTTATTGACAAAACTCCTGTGGCTCGGACAAACGACGGCAGATTAGCTCCATTACAGGCAGCCCTCCAAGAAGAGAAAGAGAGGGATTTCAAATCGACAATGCAAAGTGAGGGGGGGGGGGAAAAGAGGAGCTTTCAATTTTTTTCCCATGTACCTTCCTCTTAATTGTTTGGGCCATTGCTCCACTTAAGACGTCCCTTTCTTCCCCGATGCCTTTTTTCTGTTCCATTGTGTTGCCGTCAGTGTACTTTTAGTGAGGGGACAAAAGCCCAGTTATGTTATTTGAGAAAAAAATGTTCATCTATTGTCAATAGACAGGATTGCTGATGGCAGCATGGGTAAACAGGAGGATTTGGCCTAATGCTTTTGTTTGCCTGCAAAAGGTACATAGACTGTCTAAAGCTGATATGGGCTGTAAGGTCCAAAATCAACACTTAACAACCAGACAGACGGCCAGATCTTCAAATAATGCCTGCAATAATTTGTTGATGAAAAATCACTGAAAGCAATGGATAAAACCTGTCGGACTCATTTAGTTCAAAAACCAAATTCTTCCACTCTTAATCACCTCATTTCACTATACTCCAACCTTTTGGCTCATTTCACCTTTTTCATCCAGTTTGTCTACAGTATTTGTTGCAGTACTCAGCCGGGGCAGAGCTTCGACTTGGGCAGCTGTTTCCAGGCTCAACAATATCTCCGTCTTCCTGATTAATCCGGAGCAGAGCGCACAGTTTCACAGCGGGGGGCCTTTCATTGCCTCTCTAATGAGAAGCTGTGATACATCATGCCTTGCAGATAGCCAATCGCACCCTAGTCCCCAGGCACACACACACACACACACAAAACAAGACAGGAATAATAAAGCACGTTCTCTCAGCCCCCCAAGGCATCTGGGCAAACAGCCCCGTACACTCTGCCAAATCTGACCCCTGAGTGATGATGTCATGTCCACCATACACCACCAACCATGACAGACAACGTAATCATACCTTCATGTCCGTCCCATGTCAAAATATTCCTCTGGTTTCTGTTTTTATTTGATAACTAGTAAATACGCTTGTAATGTTGTCCTATAGTGAGTGGAAATGTAATGGAATCAAATATTGTCTGTTTCTGTTTTACAGAGGTTGTTGGTCTCAGGCGGTAGAGAAAACACTTTTCACACTCCAGTAATTTTTTTTTACATAGTAAATCGATGGGCCTGAGTATGTTTCATTGTTGTTGCGAGGTCGAAAGTGTCTTGTATGGAGGGTGTTTTTATGTCTGGCAATGCAGCGACAAGGAATGCAATACTTGTATTGAGTGTTTGTAAAGGGGGGAGGTGGGAGGAGAAAAATACCTTGTATTGTCCTTTTAAAAAAGGCTTTGCAGGCCTCACAAGAGGCCACCCCATAGTGATACCCCGAGGCTATATCTCCACAGACCAGGCACAGCCTCTTGGGGAGGGAGTTCAACATGTATTCGCACTTTATGGACGAGTCCTCCATGATGGTGCTGGAGCAGTCATCGTAGCGTTTGCGGCAGGTAACGGCCCCGAGCCCGCTGGGGGTGAACATAGGTGGAGAGTCCAGGCCGTTGGAGTGGCTGTTCATAGTGCTAACATAGCCGCCACTGGCGTCTGAGTTGCCGCTGGGGCTGTGGTGGCTGACCGTGTCGATGACCGAGGAGGGACTGGATGGCTCCGTCTTGATGTAGGACCCACAACTGGAAGGTAGGTGCCGGTCATCAGCGGCCATTCTATTCAGCAGCCTGAGGGGTGGGGTGAGTGGGGGAGGGGGGAGAGTTGATGGGAAAGGGAGGAGGAGAAGAGGAAGATGATTAGCAGAGGTCTTCCGAGAGTAGATATTAATCTTATCAACCAGTGGAGTGACATACATGTCTCAATAGGTAAACACTTGATTGAAATTAAGTACAAAATGTAATGATTTTGTGGCTTTTCATGACAATTACAACACAAATGCTCTTTTCCTTTAAGTAGACATTATGGTAAAGTTTTTAGAGTTAATGAATTATATATTCATATATATGCGTATATTCAACAATGCAGTCCCAGTAGAAAGCAATCTTTCTTATGCTTTTCATAGAAAAATACGTTTTTAAATATAAACATGCAATTTCTTCATAGAAAAAGGTGGGTGATGACACATTTGGTGGGTTTCATGTGCTCCAACAGTTGTAATCTATTGTATTTGCCAAATCACATTTAAAATGTATCAACTATTCTACTATGGTCTACTTGGTAGACTTAATGTCTAATAGTCTACTTAATGTTCTGTTCTCTATACCACTATGTGTCCTAGCCTTCCCTATAAACCCGTGAACTAGAGGGAGGATCCTAAGTGCTTCATTAGCCACACACCACCGTAGCAGGAAAAGCGCTTAAGTCTACAATACGCACGTCCACACACCGTTGCACACATGCCCAAAAACAATACAAAAACACAGACAGAAAGAAAGGAAAGTGAAAGAGAGTAAGAGGGAGGGATAGAAAGAGCACTCAAATAACTTAACACGCAAGTGCGCACACACACACACACACACACACACACACACCCAGCACATCAAGTCTTGGGCATCTCCATAGTTTAGAGAGCAGAGTGGACCTTGGCTTGTCTCCTTGAGTCAGCAGTCAACCAAAAGGAAACATGATGGCAAGATATTGACTTTTTCACTGTCTGCCTAATAACTGTGTTTTGGAGTACATGCAATATGATGCTGTAACGTGTGCAGACTAAAGTGCAGCCTTTTGGCTGTGGCCACAAAATGCACTCTGAAGCCTTCCTTGCCCATATAAATCTATTTCAGTCTCGCTCTATAACCTTTAACTTGAAATTGCATTGGGAGAACAATGGGGGGGGGGGGGAAACTTAGCCCGGTCTTGTTCAACTCATTTTTCCATCCACAAATGGAGTGAACTAAAGGGGTGGACTGGTCGACGAGATGGATAACTCATTGTATTGGGGATGCCGTGTAGACATAGTGACCCCTTAGGGTCAAGGCTAGGTCACACACTTACATACACACACACACACACACACACACACACACCCCTTTGCATTAGGTACCACGGAAGGGGTGAAAGGTCACCTGCACTTGCCTGCATTAACAAAATTGAGCCTTGCATGGCTTATGCAAATTCAGACACAGGGGCTCCTATTGATTGGCAGCTAAACAGCCCGAAGTTGTGCCTTAGCACATTAGTTCCATTAGCATATTGCCAACTAATGGTAATGTTTACATATTTGACATGTCAGTTTACCATCAGCACGGGGAGAGAGGGATGTTCCGTACCGGGCTCTATCTGCCTGATTGGACGATAGCTGTCTGTCTCAGAGTGCTTGGGAGGAAACAGGAAACGAGAGGCCTCCGCTGTGTCCCCCTTTCGGTCGGCTGGACTGCCTCTTGCTCTCTGAGGCTGATTTAATTGTGAGGGTGGGTGACGGAGGGGTTCAGGCCCAGGGGTCAGTGGGTCAACCTTATTTTCTCACCCTGGCTTGCTGGGCCCGTGGAGATGGGGGGTCAGCGTGTCAAATTAAATCTCATTCCCAGGTTTCACTCCCTGCTGTCATGTATATTCATCGGAGCTCCAGGTGCCTACCACTTCTGAAAATTCACAAAAAGGTTACCTGCTAAAATAAATAATAAAAAAATGCCCCCTGTTAAAACCGTTGACCTTGTGGAATAAGCCCTTTGCCTGTGCACTCCTGGAATTCTTCTTGCAATATAAAGCCTTCACTATATAAAACTGATACACAACTACCATTGTGCTGGAGATCATGCTTTCCAATTTACCGTTTTTCTTTCAGTTATTCTCAATTCAAACAATGCAAAAATACATCTAATACTACTGATGGCATTGGGGGGGGGGGCGGTTATTCAGATTTGCTGTTTAAAAAATGATCCATTTGTACTCTTGAATGTCCTTGCAGACAGAAATTGACAAAGTGAATCCATTTCATGCCTTTCTAAAATAGAACTCGCCGCTCTTGATAATGAATGCAGATTGCATCCCCATAAATTAATGCAAGGCTCTGTGTTCATCTGCTTTATGTTCTCTGTTTCAGATGGATATGTGCACCTGTGTGATAGGGCACCTGCACTTGGCTTATTAAAGGCTATATATTAAAACGCAGGAGCACAAGATGACTCCATTTAGCTTTTATTTCACAAATTCAGAGTAAGCTTAACCCCGGTTCAAAGGCCATCTTCAGGGTGACACTTAGCATAATTGCATAAGTGTCTTAACTGTTTCCCCTCCAGCTCAATGTGGTCATTTATAATAAATGTGCTGGCTAGAATCCCCTTAACTCATTCTGCTATGACACATTATACCACTGCTATGCTTATGTTTTTAACAAGCCTGCATATATTGATTAATGATACTGAGGGAATACTAACCACTTGAACCTGGCGTATTAATCAAATAGTCTAAAATATTTCTATAAATATTCGTAATCTCTAATGGGACAGGTCCAATTTAAATCTATAAATACCATTGTATGGGAAAATGAATTATGAGCATTAAATAGTTTGACAGCAGCAATAGTTGTAATAAATAATTCAATATGTGGGGCAGGTGCTAATTAGCTTGTGTGCTAGACAGACAGAGCAGACAGGAAAGGATCTGCTGAACTAACCGCGACTTGATGCTGTAAAATCTATAGCTCTGTCTTACTTCCTTCCTCAACATAAGAGCATTTCAAATTCTGCTGCCTGGCTGCCCAAAGGAGCAGTGCTCGTCCAAGATACAGTATCTCTCTCTCTCTTTTTCTCTCTCTGTTCCTCCTCCTTTTGTTCCCTTTGCACTGATCAACATTCATGCTGAGTAGTGGGTTATGGGCCCGCAAACGCACACTGCGCAGTTTGGTTTTAATCTGATTCCACCTGGCCCTCCTAACAGCATTTCAGATCCCTAATATCGTTCCACTGGTGCTGCTGTGACCAGGATTATCTGGCCTAATGATCTGGCAGCTCGTCTCACACTCTCTGTTCCTCGACTTCCGAGAGGAGAAGCGAGGAGCACTCGTTTCCTCGCTTCTCAACACTTTCCTCGCCTGCAAGCGAAAAACTCTGAACGTTGGATGACACTGTCGCAAGAACGCGGAACATTCAGGATCTAATTGAGCCAATTTGTAAGTGTTCCTGCTGAGAGCTTCCTGCTCACTTCAGGAGGATACTGACATCCTCCACTGTTCTCTGGGTGACTACAGCTCTCTCCTTGTTTCATGTGTAAATCACAAACCCGTGCTCGAGGCTCAATTCAAAAAGTGAGTATATTCCCAATGTCCTTTTCACTCTCAAGGCCACAAGATGCCAAAACACAATTTTATAACATTTGCTAACCTCATCCCGGAGTGTCACATCCTTGCTACCTGATCAAACTGGGTAAGTGGAGGGGAAGGGGTGGGTGGTGGAGGTGGGGGTTGACATCTGCAGGCAGGGTGATGGTGATATCAGATGCCCCGGTAGGGGCAGATCTGTCTGGAGGGCCCCAGGCGATGTGGCCTGATAAGCCACTGGCCCCAGAGTCAGCGTTGGTAGGACGAACTCAATTAGCTCCTGACAGACCTCCTCTCAGCCGGGCTCAGCCTCCCCACCACAGCAAGAACCCACTGGCAGCTGCCACGCTGACCTCTCCTCCTGGGGCCACCGCCACCTTTTACCGCTCTAACACACAGCCAGGGATTCATTTTTGGGAGAGCGGAGACCACGCTGAAATTCTGCACGGCCCGACTAAAGTCACAGAGATACATCCGTATGTATGGTGTGTATGCCACCAAGGGTGTTCGGCGTGTGTTTACGCAGGGCAGAATGGAAATGAGAAAGGACTGGGGCTCAGGGAGGGGTTTGGGTGGCCCTTGGGAGAAAGGAAGGGAATAGAGATTCCAAAACATATATGAAGGACGCCTCTCTGACTGGTTCCAGGTTAATGACCATCAGGGGAATAAGGGGCCAAAAGACTCTTGGGGTGATGTGCATGTGTTTCTGTACCAACGCTGTACGGGCTTAGGTGCTCTTAGGTCTCAGGGTGTGTTTGTGTTGCAGACAGAATATGAAAGATGGAAATGTTGGGGAAGGGGGTTGATGGCTGTGGTTTTGTTGGAGGAAAGCCCCACACTCCATAGGGACCCATTCTAATCTATGAGGGAGAGGCCCCTAATTTTGGAGTTTCTCATTCATTAGTCCTGCTCTGGCAGAGAGAGGAGGGAGCGGAGGGGGAGGACCTGAAGGGAGGGGAGGGGTCTCTTTATTAACGGATATGCCAGACACTCAGGAGAAGCTGACAGAGATTTATGATGCACAGATCTATGAAGGCAAACAAAAGGGAAGTCGAGGAGACAGAAAAACAGGAAAAGAGAAAGTAAGCGATACGCGAGGGGAAGAGAGAGACGAGGCAGAGAGAGAGAGAGAGAGAGCTGTGTTTATGGTACCAATGGAGAGCTAGGGCCCCGGATCAATAGTCCGTAGGCTGGGGGCTCGTGCAGGGTTACCACTGGGGGGACCATGGTGCTCTGTGGCCTGGGCAATTAAGTTTTTCAGTCTCCAGCAGAGGATTATATTTAGCTGCTCCACAGCGATGTCACTGTAGTCTTTATAAAGCTATGAGCTCACTCCACTACTACAACATGAGCCCCATGCTCCAGCGACAGCACAAGATAGCGCTGGCCAAGAAGCAGATCACATCTATTGATCCCCCCTCTTGCTCCTTCCTGTTCCAGAGATGCTGCTGGCAGGAAAGAGAGGGCCTCTTGTGATACAGGCGCTGCTGTTTGTCTGACGTAAACTGTCTGGGCCGCACTGGGCAGATCCAGTTCTTATAAGGGGCTGAGTTCAGGATGTTGAGAGAAGCAAATGGCTAATGACAGAGCTACTGTCAGTGGGGGGACGTGAGGGAGTTGTCAGTTGTCTAAAATGCCCACAGTGGAGAGCGAAGAGTTAACAGTCTTCTACGCGGACCCTGTGGGGAAGCTCCCTGCAGAATTGAACAGCTCATCACACTGTATGTAAAAAAGAAGTTTAGTGATAAGTCTCGGCTGCCGTGCAGTACATTTGGGATCACATTTTTAATTCTGCTTTTTCATTAGAAAAGATTAGTTTCCATTACACCCATTATGAAGCATGGCCATGGTATAATTTAACAACATAAATGTACAATGGCTCGTGATATCTACAGAAAGCAATTATAGTCCACTACTGGCAAAAAAAAAAAAATCATCCTTAAAAACAGTTTCTAATTATCAGCGTTTTGTATATTTAAAAGACTCCTTCAAAGCTGGTGTTGGTAATGACCTCAGACAAAACCTGGCGTTGTGTGATATGTTACTGATACACTGTCGCCAATATTACAATACACTCCCATGCAATATGGGCGTACAGTTGGTGGATTCTTCCTTTATAACATATGTTTTAACAATAAACTCTTCCGCTTTATGGCAGTTCTTTGTCACTTTACGTCTGTTTAAAATTCGAATGATGAAACATATTACCAACGACACAGTTCTGTTGTTTGGCTATTTAACTCTAATACATAAAAAAATATATATATTTTTAAATTGTTCTGACATTCTAGAGGAACAGTATGGTTTTCTCTTCAGTAACACAGATGCAGTGATGTAAATTCATTGTTTTATCACAGAATCTCCAGCATCATGAAGTCATTATCAACATATCATCAGCGCCTCATAAAAGTACATCATCAGTTAACTTGGCCACTCATAAACAGTGCGATTTTCCTAGAATTGACATGTGTAATATGGTAATATAATGAATCAATAAAGTCAGTGGAAAGAGATTCAATAAGAGCAGAATGTCAAAACTGTTGTTAAAATAGTGAAAATAAAAAACAGGATTTGGTAATATGCTCCTGAATAGCTGACCTGTCCAGGCTAATGTATGAATATCTCTTAAAAATTCTGTTTCATGCTGCAAAAGCCCTTTAAGGCTCGGTTTTGTTTAACTGCCATAAATTATGTGGAAAGCCAGCAGATATCAACCACAGCACACCTCTCACGCACTCTCAGTAGGGTTCCTTATGTAAAATAAAGAGACGGGGATTATAAAATATGAATGATGGAAACTTGAGCAAAAGATCCAAGCCCATTTTATCAGAGGGTCGAAGGATATTACAGATTGTGTTGCTTGTTTTTTTGCAGTGTGTGTGTGTGTGTGTGTGTGTGTGTGTGTGTCACAAACAGAAAGAAATATTATCATAAAGGGTTAAGGCTATTTAACACAGTCCAGTGTAAATCACAGGTTTAGACACAGTGACTGTGCGTACAGGAGGACGGAGGTATAGAGCCATGCATGAAATTACTTCATTAATCTTCTTCTGATAGGCTGTCCTTGTTTAGGGGAGAACTATATACCTGCTTAAAACAAAGAGCCCATCCTGCCTCCGTTATAAATTGTCCTCTTCATAAGAAGAAGAGTACAAATACAAACACATGCACACACATACATACAAATGTACAAGGCCAAATTAATCGGCCAAAATTAGCAGGTTTATCAGGCGTCCAGCATAATTCAAACGCAATCAAATGTGTAAATGTTTGTACAGGTTCACAGCGGCTGTGTCATCACGGCACATAGGTAAGATTAAAATAACATACATAATACAACGTGATCATCAAAGTTGACTTGATTCCTCTGATTTAAATTGTAGCGCACAATTCAAACAGTTCCAGAATGAATTGATGCTGCTCACAACACTATTGCTATGACAGTCTGCCACAGCAGCAGACACAGTCATAGCAATAGCCTCTGGCTTTTTACAGGCTCATCTCTACCAGCTGCCACACATTCCCCATAAATAGTGCTGGTAATAAAAAGACGGGTGGGCCTAACTGATTTATACGGTAGTGTCCACCACCACACCATTCAGGAATAATTAAACTTTGGGGATATTTCCTGAATTAATGTGTCTCCTTCAGGGGGCAATCTAAACACACATTTCAGTGTTCACCACGTCTGGTGTCACCGGATGAACTGGGAGGGAGCGACTCTCCAAGTGGCAGGTTCAACAACCAGACACTCAATTTGACCATTCGATTGCACTCAGCGCTGTGGGGGTGGTCTCATAAGGAGGCATTTAAATGTGAATGTGTATCGTGGCCAACAGGAAAACACACACACACAAGCACATAGTTGTATAATTTGAAGGCAGGCGAGCAAGCAGGGACACACACACACACACACACACACACATTTCTACACAAACACATCTGTCAGTTATCAGTTGAAATGATTCTGTTGTGAAGTTGTAAACAACAGGTTTTATGAGACAAACAAAGTTAACCTGTAATGAATAACATTTTATGTCATGGAGAGTCAGAACCTAGCCTGACAATGTGATGTAAACTGAGATGGAAGCTCTATTAGCTTTAACAAATAATAGAGATAATGGCAATGTTTCAAAAATAAACGACGGTGTAAAGTAAGAATACATGTGGGTTAATGTTTCATCAAATATGTATCAATCATGTTCTGCAGACCATTCAGTTCTGATTTAGGAACAGGATTGTACCGCAGTGTTTTCTCACATAATTTAATGTTTTAGGCTTTTTCTTATTTCTGTTATACGAGCAATGCATATTTGACACGGGTCAAGAGAATCAAATACATCAATAGAAATTCCTGTTCAGCACAGAGAAACTAGGCCTACAGTGGCTGGCTTTTTGCACACCGCCATGTTAATGGCTGGTTATTGGTCACATCTACTTCCCTTGGGCAAATCAGGGACGAGTGATAGTAGTGCTGTCTCTCACTCTCTCTCTGTCTCGAAGACACACCCACAACATAGCTGCTGTAAGTGTGCACACTGCGTCAGTCCTTTCAATTCCACAGTTTTGTACAGTTCATGATGCCATGCTGCACAGTTTTCCTTCAAACCTACGGACTGTGTGTGTGTGTGTGTGTGTGTGTTCAGATATGAGCATGAAACATTTACTCCCAGCTGTCCAAAGAGTGATGAGAAATAAAAAAGAAGTGCTCGCTCTAAAAGCTGTAATGGATGCAAGGCTCACTGTGGCCATGTAGAGGAGACTTGGTGAAGCTGTCAGTGGGAATCAGAGCGGCTACTGTGACGGACGGTTTCAATATTGATTTCATAAATAAACAAAGCTAACCATCGATCCTAATGTTATTTTGCATTTCAATTACTGCTCCGAAACATAACCTTCAAACAGCTGGCCGTTCAATACCAATAGCCTTCACTGATAAACACCCATATAGTTACCCGCCTTACATCACATTTTCTTACCAAGTGTGAATTAGTGGACCTACAAGTTTTCCCTCCACCACATTTAGGACAGAGTGGTTGAAAAGCAGCAGCATTGTCGTGAGCGTTCATATCTATCATACTAATGGAGAGAACCGTAAGAAACAAGCAGACTCGGCAAATACAGGAAGCTTCACTGAAGTGTTTTCTTGTGACTAATTTACCACTCTACAGTTTTTTTCAAGTGTATTTCTTGACTGTTATTTTTCTAAACTTCAGTGTTCTAGATGGTGTGTGTGTGTGTGTTTGTGCCTGTGTGTGTGTGTTTGTGCCTGTGTGTGTGTGTGTGTGTGTGTGTGTGTGTGTGTGTGTGTGTGTGTGTGTGTGTGTGTGTGTGTGTGTGAGAATGAAGAGGAGCCCTTCAATGTTGGAGCAACAGGAAGAAGTGCTGACGCACCGTGTTAGTGATAGCACTCTGCTGCCACAAGGGCATGAGAGCCCACGTAGGCTAGCATTATCCTTCTAGACTAATGGACCTAGTTATTTTTAAACAGATTCTCACACTGCGGCGGAGGTGTCCAAGGTTACAATGGATGAGAAATCAGAAAGGGAGGCGTGTGGTGACGGCTGGTGATTTCTGTGCGGGTAGACGTTGTGAAATAGCCAAAGAGGCCTGGTAGCCAATCACTGAGAGGTGTAAAGGCCAAAGATCAGATAGGGTCTCAAGAGACAGCATGTTATAGTAACACTAACATCCAAAATGTACCAATAATATTAAAAATACAATTGTATACTTTCTTCAAACTTTCTCTCATGCAATATTGGTTGAAAGAAAAAAAGTTAATTTGCAATGTGACCATTTTTACACAGAGTTTTTTTGCACAACATTAAATCGAACGGGTCATAATATTTCAGAACAGAACAAGTCTGGATATTGCATGCTTTTCTTACTCTTATTTTCCTAATTAATGACCCACGGAATAGAGCACCCAAAGGTAACACCACTACAAATAAATGAGTGAGTTTGATTTAGCAGCTCCTTTTAAAGCCAGGCTAAGCACTGACAAGTATGAACCCGAATACATCTGAAACTACAGTACAGTGAACATCCAGAGAGTGTCAATATACTCTGCATCCCCATTTGGCCTGGAGTGGGACAACATGCTCCCCCCCTCCCCCCCGCTCAGCCTGAGCTGAGTGACATATTTACAGTGAAAGTAATGATACTAGATACCAGAAATGAGAGGGCTCCAGCGTGGCCAGTGGACTCAGGAATCTCTCTAATGAATTGGACAACAAAGCCCTGTTGGTACAAGGAAGAAGTATTTAGAATTGGGTGACAGACTGAATTTTAAAACATCAGGGTTTACTTTAAAAAAGGCACACATCCCAACACCCCCTAAAAGCTCTGGGAGATGAGGAGGGTGGGATGGGGGACAGGTGGGCTGTGGGGCTGGACACTGCAGCTACAGAGGCCACCAGCTCCTGGCGCATAGCGGGGTGGCCATTCTCGGCCAGAAGCCTCTTCTGGTAATGTATTCTGAAACCAAATTACCGTAAGCTGATCCCATCTGGATAGTGTCTGTGCACGGCTGCTTTGGTTACCCACCACTGCCTCTAGCCTGCGATAGCATCTCCATGAAGACAGCAAAAATCTGATTAACCCAATAACAATGAAACACTTGGTCAAAGAGCAAAGAGCTTTTAACTTAAGATACACTAATGCAATTCCCTCGCCTTGTTTTCTGAAACCTAATAAGAATCAAGCAGACGGACTGCTAGAGATGGGTGTTTGCAGGCTCTAATGCAGCAAGCTGGGAATGAAGTCAAATGAATTGAAATCTAATTCATCATTGTGTGCTAACTTCTCTCTGCTTCTCTTAAAAAAAATACATTAAAAAGCTTTTATTTCATGAAGGGAAATGGGATAGCCTAGTTTAGTTTATAGCAGTGGCTCTGCCAGGGCTGAAGGAAAGCGAGGGTGTTGATGGAGCATTTAGAGGCAGAAAGATGTCACATCTCAATTCAATTCTAGCGAGCACAGAGGAACTCAAACTGACAATCCTCGGCATGGGCTGACTTCTGAGTGGCGCGAACTGCCACTGCAATACAAGATCAACAATAAGCCTGTCAGACTCGTACACTAAGCGGCTGGTCTCTCTGCCATGAGCCAAGAGATATTCAGACTCCAATAAGTCCAGCAAAAGTAAATAACAGGTGGAGTGTAACGGGCCACATGCCGGCGGCAATGTCACACACACATTTTGAGAGAATGCATACAGAATTAAACTTCCAGTAAAACCTGTGTTATCGGAATACTCGGTGAAAACTTGCATGCGCTCGCATTTCTAAATACCGTCAGTGTGCAAAGAGACGAGAGGTGCGTGTGTCTCTCTCTATTCTGAAGGCAAAACTCTGTTTCCATCTGATTCCCAGGCAGTGGCGATGCCCTCGGGTGGATCTATACAGAGTATACCACAGCGGTTCCACAACAGTGCTGTGCTAATTACATGGCGCACATACGTCCCACTAATCCTCTCAACCAAGCATCACAGCCACATTCAGCCCACAGTGAGGGGCTGCGAATACCGCTGTACCATTAGCAGAGGAGAGCCACTGCTGGAGCACAATGAACAGCACACTCTCAGGCCACTGCTGGAGAGATCCCACAAATAACTAACTGTTGGTAGGAAGACATGTAATCAGGAGAATGCTAATTTACTGTCATAAGTTACTGTGACAGATTTTTTGCGTTGGAGGTGGAGAAATTATTACATCCACATTTGATCACAAACAATTTCTAAACACATCTATGGTAAGTTACCAGAGTTGTTTATAAATCAAACACCTGTTCACAACTCAGCTTTGAAAGAGCAAATGCTCTTCACACCGTTATTTTAAATGTCACATGTTTCCATATTAATCAAATAGTCTGATCATGGGACACAGAAATGCAACTGCTTTCTTGTGTGGAGTGCCATTAAATATTAATTTTCTTTTATCATATAGACAAACATGTCAATATGCAACTAATGTTTTGGGGGAAGAAAACAAAAACTAATTAACATAAACATTAACTGCAAAATATTACTTAAACATATTTTTCATGTACAAATTTAGGAACGTGTTATTTTACATTTGATAATTTAACTATAACATTTGAGAGTAAATGAAAAATCAAAAGTACATTTATGAATTTTGTCAGATTACTTGAAAGGAGACAAAGTCAAATATATAGTGAACTAAAACTGAAAACATTTTAAACAAATGATTTCCAACATAACTCAAATATTGTGTTGATATTTAAAAAGGTTTCTCCTTGTTGCAATAAATATGATTCAAAATGTGTTGGAAAGTGCATTTGTTATGAAAATAATTTGAAAATGACACATCTCCTCAGACATTAGAATAATCATAAATCCAAATTATAATCATACATAAATGTGGGGGTTGTGTAAAGATCTGCTTAAAAAAGAAATACAAATGAAAGTAGTTGTGACAAGGATATATTTGCAGGGAATACTACAATGAAAAATATAAATACACTTGAACATATAATACTTGATGTGTTGCAGAAATATCCACCTTGTTACTGCTGTTTGTGTAATTGTGTATTAATGTGTAGAGACATAAGTGAACTTTTATAATCCATTACAGGATGAACAAAAGGAGATTATTGAATGTCTGTCTAAGATGGTAATATTTTCTCTAGAAGTATTTCTTTAATTTTCAGTGATTAAAGCTCAAAGTAAAGAATATCTGTGACCAAATGGGTCAAGTAAAGCAATACACACTAACAACATTCAGCTTACTAACTTTACACCTGTTACGTATTTCCACTGCATGTAGAACACTGCTTTAAAATATAGTGAATCAAAACTAAACTAAACTCCTCGATTAGCATTTAATAATGTTCAGAACATGAAGAGCTCAGAAAACAAGACGATACAAATTTTAACTGGAATGTTTTACAAGAGAGAGAATATAATGTAAATTGTCTGAATGTGTAAATGACTTATCAGGCAACTGTGAGGTAATTGAAATTTAAACGTCTGATTGGTCTTGCACAAATCACTACTTTTGCATATATACTACTTGATTAATATTTTTTTCAAATTTGAACACTTTATAAAATATAATAAAGATTGATATAAAAATGATCTATAAATGTATATGTATAAAAATCCTCACACAAGCCCAAAGTTTTAGTCTGTCCATTAACTGGGATATGTTGAATTAAAAACGTTAATATTATACCATTAAAAAAAACAAATACATATTTTTCACAACTAAAGATTACACGTTAATTTTGTATCAAATTCAAGGATGTTTTTACAAAGGTAAAGTGTGGTCGGTGCCGGAAGCTCAGCCTGTCCCAGCAGCCAGGAGTTGTTGAGACAGCAGCTTGCCTCGTGTGCCGCTGGCTGGGACACACTTCCACTGAGGTCACAGGGTCTCTTCATTCGTCTTTTCTGGCTACAAATATTACACTGTGTAATTTATCCTCTCCAATTCCACGGGTGCACGTTTATCTCATCTCCTTAACAAAAAAATATATTCTCCCTGTGCGGCCGAATCTAAGAACAAAGCCATCAGCAAACAACCTCCTAACCCGACTGGACAGGTACCCCAAATTCTTTAGGAAACAAATACGTAGTTTGCAGAGGGGCACGCTAAATCAATCAGCCATGCCCTGAATGGAATTTAAAAAGACGCCAGTCTTTCTTTCCATATGATGTGCTCACACAATACATCTACACACGTATGCACACACGTACACGGTTGCACCTGCCCTGTTGCTCTATACTGTCAAGTCCTGCATGCTTTAAGAGCCCTTAAAACAATGAACAAGAGAAAGTGCATCTTTTAGAGTGTGAGTAGGTGTGAGAGGGTAGATGAATAGAGAAGCCAGGAAAAGTACATGACTGCTAAAACAAGAAAAAGTTCAGTGCCTAGACTAGTGGGGTTCAGGAAACATAACTAAAACAAGCATAGTTAAAACAAGCATAAGCAGATAAGGCAAATAAAAAAGAAAGAATGACAGAGAAGAAATAAAACTGCATCACAACAGAGGGGTTAAAAGTTAAAGTGAAAGAAGGAAAGAAAGAAGCAAGGTGCACCTACTGGTTATGATAGCTGAGAGGGTCTGGAAGACAAAGTTCTGAAATGTCCATCAGTCCAGTTTTAGCATTCCAGGAATGAGAGGAAGAGGAAAGAGAAAACAACTGAGACCCGCTTCTTCCCCGAATGATGGCACAGCACCCTCAGAGACAACGCTGCCGAAACGAAAGCCCCCTCCAGCACCGCTCCCCCCAGCCTGCACAGGTATGTTGGACTCGCGTGTGTGCGTGAGCATGGGTGTTGTGTGTGTGTGTGTGTTTATGTATAAATGTGTGGCAGAGAGAGTGTGTCTGAGTGTATGTAAGTGAAAGTGTGTGTATGTCAGAGAGAGAGAGAGAGGGAGAGAAAGTGAAGGAGGAGGGGGGGGGGGGGGGGGGGGGGGGGAGGAGGGGCGGAGAGACGGAGGAGGTAAAGGGGGGTGAGACAGAGAGAGAAGCGCAGGCAGCAGCGGGATGAGCGCTAAGATGGAGAGAGCATGAGAGCGCGAGCGAGGGGAATGACTCTTTCCATGGTCGGGATAGGGCTCTTTAAGACTCAAGGGCTTGATGAATATGGAACAGCTGCTGTTGGCTGGCTCCGAGGGGCAGGACTTAAAGCGACAGAGGGGCCGGCGCAGCACTGGGGAGGAGGGATCCAAACGCTCACTCGCACACTCCGCTAGATACAACACACACACACACACACACACATGAGCTCACACACACATAGACAAAACAACCTATCATATGAACAACAGAGACGCAACTAGGAGACCAGTCAACACACAAAGTTTCCATCTGAATTACATAAAAAGAGTTAGCATTTATGGTATAATTAAAAAAAGAGCTTGAGTTCTTTCTTTCAGTATTGACTGAAATGCAACATTTATTATGTATTTAATGGTGAAGTATCTTTAAATGTATTTCAATTCATATTTGATGAAGAAAATCATTTTGTCTCAGCTTCTACAGCTTGTTTTTATGCTTACATAAATATGCATTTCAATGATATCAAATAAAAACTACAGCAAAGCTACTTCACACGACGACGACGACAACAGAGAACTTTACCAAGCAGCTGTTTCAGAACTTGACCATGACAATATAAAAACGTACAGTAATCTAGCCTGTACAGTTAGAGAACACATAATAAAGTCAAATCTGACACCAGCCTAAGCCACACTGTAGAAGCTCCAGCAAGCAG